CGACCCTGACGCCTGTTTATACAGAGTGTGCATGTTCTTCCCATGGTCGCGTGGATTTTTCTCTGGTTCCTCAGCTTTTTCCCTCCACATTTAGAAACATGTTTGTATGGATGTTTTAACTTTTTTTCGCACCCTACGTAGCCAACCAACATGATAAGGCAACTTCGTGGCCAGGTTGCTTCTGAAAAAGAGCGATATTAGCTCGGTGGGCCTGACCTGGTAAAATAAATTAAAAAGTTGAGTTTTGTTTGGATATCATTCTCCACTGATGTTAGCCTTGGCTGGGAATCAAGCTCACATACTGGGTTTATAGCACAGTGTGTTCACTACTGTGCCACAGATCCATCTCATTAACTCATTTTACATATATGAGATTTATTTCTAACTAACTAGTGACAGTCCATCGAGGCACAAATATTTTTTTACAAGGGATACCTAGGATACAGTTCCATTTATTTATTCTAGAAAATGTCACCGAGTCTCAAGAGTGTTTTTCACGAGGGTCCTACTTTTGAATGTTTTGCCTTTTCCTCTTTAAGAAGTGTGCTTTGTTTGGGAGAAAACTGGCCTTTGAGATATGAATGGCCAAGGTGACCCTGGCTGGGCTCTGAACTTTTTTCTTTTAATCTCATGATCGGGATGCCTGCTGCTGAACCATGTCCCACTCGTGTGCAGTAGTTTGAGTGTCCTGGCAATGGACATTAACCCCGAATGAGTCACCTTTGTGTTAGTTCACTTGAAATGATCAGTTTATCTTGATCACCTTTTGTTGGTAGGAGAGTGGAAAGGAGTAATATTGGGCAAGAATAGAGAAAAGTGACGTCAGTTAAATGATCTGGGTTTTAACGATGCATCGATTCAGCTATTTAATGTTGATTTTTTAAACTCACAATACATGCATCCAATCTCGTGTAAAAGCGTTAATGTTTTTTATTTGTATATTTTGTGTGCAATGGATTCTCGTCATCCTTGGGAGCAACTAGAGATGCTTCCATTCATCATCATGTTAACAAAAAAGGAATCGATTCGTGACATAAATTGTGACCCAGGAATCAGGAAAATGTATCAAAGTGGCAAGTGGGGGGGGGGGGGGGGGTAACAATCTTTTCACCCGTAGGTGATGCCAATATTTTTACAAGACACCACCGTGCCCATCCACATCCAGTCCCTCGTGCTCTTCCATAGTCATCACATTTGAGCACATGTAAGCTGTATAAACCGAACACCGTATTTATTTTAAATGTAATATCACCTCCACTCAAGGGGGTATCAAAACATTGTACACTAAAATAAAATGCCACAGTTACCATGGACAAGACCACATACAATAACAAAATTCTGGACCTACTTAATGATGGTAGCTATACCAAAATTAAAAGATATTCCACCAACCGCCTCGTTACGAAAACCAACAATATCATCACTGATTCGACATCTTTGATCGAACCATCCAAGCGGTTTTCCTTAAAACCCTCTGCTGCTAGACCACCCAGACTGTATGGCTTACCAAAAATCCATAAAGAAGGGACACCCCTTCGTCCTATCGTCTCCACTATTGACTCACCCTCCTACAAACTGGCCCGATTTCTGTCTGAGACCTTACAACCATTCACTGGTAAGACCACCTCAGCTGTACTCAACTCAGCTCACTTGGTATCGTTAATTCAGGACATCTCACTTTCTCCAGGTGATTTGCTTGTTAGTGTCGATGTAGTGTTATTGTTTACCAAAGTTCCCATGCTTGACACCATTACAATCATTGAAGATTTGGTCCAACAAGGACTGAATGCTGATGTACCATCCCTGGTTAGACACTGCCTCACCAACACTTACTTCACCTGGAATGGAACATTCTGCAAACAAGTTGAAGGAAAAGAGACCAGATGGCTCAATGGGACACTCTGTCGACAGGAAAGCCACCCATACGAATGCCTACCTAAAACCTGACTCCCACCACCATCCATCCCAGAAGAATTCCCTCATCAAAACTCTACACCATAGAGCTCGATGTATTTCCGACTGTCATCACCTAGCCAGTGAACTGGAACTCGTACACAAAGCTCTCAAGATGAATGGATATTCAAACTACACAATCCGTAAAGCTATCACCCCAACCTTGGGAAAGAATCATCTGAGGACCCAATCAAAACCATCACCTTGCCATACAGGTTCGATTTAACACAGTACGTAAAATTCGTGATCTGATCCCATCTGTGAAGGATGTGATCTCTGACATGCAATACCCCAGCGTCTACAAACTAAGCTGTGTCTGGGGCATTAGTTACATTGGGGAAACGAAGTGACATGTCTCAGACTGTGTTCGTGAACATAAGGCAGATCTGAAACACGGTAGGGCCAATACCTCGGCTGTGGCTGATCATTGTTTTAATGCGGTGGGCTCACACGAAATTGATTTCTCTAAGACGAAGGTACTTTGAAAGCCCACTGGCTATCAACAAAGATTCGCTCATGAAGCCATCCATATTTATAGACAGACACAATTTCAACCGAGAAGATGGGTACAAACTGAGCAGTCATTGGAAGAACGTTATCAACCAGTTTAAGTCATAATTGGCTATGATTTTCCCATCCTACCACCTTCCGATGTTAGTTGTGCTTTACGCCCATTTCAAACTTGCGCTTTCACAGTCACTTCGCGCGCCGACCCCTTGGTTGCGGCTCTGCGATCTCCCATTAACATTTGTAAACAGCTCTTTGGTGTAGACCTACTGCAGGTTACGGAGACCTCTCCCACATTTATATTAGCTGCGCCGCCCATCTCTAAACCTTTATAAACAGTCTGCCTCGGCAGATTTCCCCCTCTTTTTTCACCTGAAGACGATTGCTTGTGTTGCGATCGATACGTCGTGATATTGTTATTATCTTGATGATTTTGTTCTATCTACGTGGCTTTACCGAAAGACCCAAAGAATATGCTAATCTCTCTTTAACATGCTAATTTTCACCTGGCAGCCCTTGGATTGCTGGAAAACCAACCACCGTCGGATTGGCTGCCCACCACTTACATTATCATTGACTGCTGACATTTGGGCTACGCCCATTTCAAACCCTGATAAACAGTTTGCCTTGGAAGCTAACCCCCCTTTTCCTGAAGACGACCGCTTGTGTTGCGATCGAAACATCGTAGTTTTTTGTTATTTTTTGTTATTTTCTTTGAACCTATCTACGTGACTTTACCGAAAGACCCAAGAATATAAAATGCAAAGGCAATAAAATATTGTTTAGGTAAAAGCCATGATAAATAATGTTTAAGTAAAGTCATGAGAAAATCGTGAGTTTTGCACTCCCTCCTACTAAACGCACTGAGGCTCGTAGTGTGCCGGATCACCACCGGCAAGGCATTCCAGATCCTTGGGGCAACACTCAAGAAGGCTTGACTCCCCCAGCGTCGAGCGCAAGAGCCGAGGATGGGAGAGTAGTGGTAGGTCCTGCCATGAAGAGCGTGGCGTGTAAACCCCAGTCGTGTGAGAGATCAGTCGGGCCCGCCGCAGGTACATTGGTCCAAGACCATGTGATAATACAGCCCTTTGGTTGATTTCAGAATGAATGAGGGAAAACCTTTTCATTCTCTGTCCCTTAAAATGTATTATCCTGGAACTTTTTGATAGAAAACAATTGTAAGGTTGCGAGTTAAAACACCGGTTGCGGTCGACTCAGCCTGTCGGCCGTGTGGGTTAGATAAAATAATTTTATTTTATACCTTCGTGACTTTACCGGAAGAACCATGAGTATAGATAAAATAAGTACCACTCTGCAGTAGGTCAAAGTGGTTTTCCTATGGATAGATGGGCCTCTGACATGATAATGTGGATTGTCTTATCACTGGCATAAGGAACAGCGGTGGAGAGTGCCCACCCCATTGCTCATTTGGGCAGGGAGACAGACGACTTGACTCTTTTTTTTATCGCACTGTAACCGGGAATGGACTTACCATTCCTGACAGGTAATGCACTCACCAATGAGTGTATCACAAATATGTCTGCCCCATGAATTACTAATTAGCATTCATGCAAATTGGGGAGGGAGGCTCCCAAACGGGAACTCTCCTGGGTCTGTGTTCAAGGCATGGCACACACAGTAAATACTGAGCGTGCAGGTGACTCATTGTGGAAGTCGCAACACAAGGTCGCCTATATGATAGCACGTAAACACTTGATGTTCGCGCTTGCATTCTAAACGAAACATTAGGAGGCAATCGCCACGTAGTAGTTTGTGCTTAAATTAAGCAAACACAAAATGTATATAAACCTTAGCAAAACCATTCTTAGGTTTAGCAGAAAATGTTCACATTTCAAAAGGCTATACAGTCGTAAGGGATCTTAAGAATGCCGTTTTTAAGAATGTCACATTACCTAAAGGTTCCATATAGTGGCACCAAAATGCAAAGGTATTGTACCTTTTTATGTGCTGTGAATATTTTGTAACAACAGAATGTTTCGTTAGAGCACTGTTTTGACCTACACACATCATGCGTGCACACACGTTAGGACATATTGACAGAGTAGAAATTAAGAATTGTTTCATCTTCTCTTCTAAAATCATTACAATGTCACTCTGTGCACTTCACGTATGCTGCCGTTCAATCAAACACGTCCTTCGTTTCTGCCAGGCAAGAGGCCATTAAAATGCAACGTCCCTCTTCCAGAGGAGACTTTGGGCACAAGGCAACACTTAAATTAATCAGACACAAATGTAAATGACAGAATTTACATAAAAGCGATAAAGCCGGGGCTTTAAACAAATAACGTCGGACGGCGGCTATTACGCAGTCGATTGCTGCAATAGAAATTGCTTGCGAGAGTCAGCCTTAGCGGGAGCCGAATACAGCCCCCTTTGTCTGTCTGCGTAGAAGCTACCTTAAATCTGTGCCTGTTCTTATTTGTCTTGTTACAAATACACGTATATATATTTTTCCGTATTCAGGATTGTGCGTCTTGAAAAAGTGACGCCCCCCCCCCCCCCTGTGGCTTTGTGCGCAGTAAACTGAAGGGGTGCTCCCCGAGCAGCAAGAAGAAAGGCAAGCGGAAGAGAGACACGTCGGCTGAAAATTCCGACACGGAGCAGGCGGGCGCTTCTGGAGTAATAGACGACGACGACCTGATGCAGGTAAGCGCTCCTCGCCCCCATCGTGCCCGCCCCCCTCCACACCATCCTAGTTAACCACCTCTGCTCCCTCACCCATGCTCGATCGATGCATCACATCGACTGCAGTCGGGGGGGGGGGGTGCGGGGGCTGAGGAATCGTGAGCCCCATCTCTCCGATGCAAGCACCTTCTGCGGCCGCTGTGGATAAACAAATTGATTTATGCGTCTCCAGCGCCCTGCTGCACAAGTGCAGCTTTTATTTTATTTGGGTCCTTGGCTGTGAGGGAGCAGTTTTTCGATATTGTTCTGTAGCTGGGTGGCCAGAGTCCATGTTTGTCCTGGTTTGCGACCTGGTTCTTAGTCTCCATCATCATCGTCGTCATAATTATCAACATCCATATTGAGTAGGTTATCCTAAATCGGCAATTAAAAATGTTTTTTATTTTGTCATGTAAAATAACCCTAATTTGAAACAGTGATGTGATTAACAACATGCCGTTAATCCTGCACCTTAGAGGCTTTGGGCCGAGTATAGTTCACTCTGTGTGTGTTAGTACAGCAAGTAGGATGTTGATTTACTGTATTGGTCTTGGCATGTTTTCTGATCATGTGTGTGAGGTCTTTCTCTGGGTAGACTGGTTTCATACCATATGCTAAAATATTGATTTTGGAATAAAAATGGGTAAATATTAAATCCTCAATCTATATATATATAAAAAAGGGAAATTTGTGAATGTGTGTGTTCGAAATGTTTGGCATACTTCCCAACATGCAACAAACTTTAAATTTGACATGTGGGTAGCTTCCAGACTGTATACAATGCAAAAGGTATAAAAATAGACTTTTGTATTTGGGGGGGGGGGGCGCAATAATGGATATATTTTGCACGGCAAGTGAGCGGTGACGTCACATCTGTGATGTCACCTGCATGGGGAAGCGTTACGCAGTGTGCCTGCTGATGTCACGCACCCCCCTCCAACCCTCCACGAGTAAAGTGCCATACAAATGTGTAGCAGGTCTAAGGCGTTCTTCGCGCAGCATTGCTGCTTTATTATTTGAGTCGTTTACTGCCATATGCACCCTGAAAGTTGTGTCTGCAGCAAGCGCGTGTATGTGTACCTATGGACGCGCACGCGTGTGTGTGTGGGGGGAGCGGTAGTGTAGTGGTTAGCGCGCTGCACTACGAACCCGGCGACCCGAGTTCGATTCCCACTCACGGCCATCGATTATTCGAACCGGTCCTGGGTCTTCCCTAGGTCGACTCAGCCTCAAACGAGTAACTGGTGTGGTGTCTGAACATCGTCACTGGGGAGACAAAGGTGGCCGGGCGTGGCGAATCCAAGTCCTGGTAGTAATGCTAGTAATCGTATAAGTTATTTATTCACTGATTTTCAAGACATTTTCAAGAGTGTACTGTGCTTTGAATATTTGGACACTTTTTTAAAGACTTTTTTTTATGTCGGAGCAGGCCATCCTAAAACTAATGCACATGACTGGATGACACTCAAAGGTTCACACAGATGAGTTCACCCTCCTACTTGCTGTACTGCCTAATTATTTCCATCACACATTTCTATATGATTCCTCAACCTGCTGGATTACAGGCATGCGCTTGACATTGGCCATAGAACCCAAAGAGAGCAATCCTGAAGAAGCCTTGTTACTCAGCTAAGGCTGTCCCAGATACCTAAACGACCAAATATTTGTCATAAAACACCAAGTGCAGTAGTTCACGTGAAACGAGACAAATTAACGTGCTCCCCCCCGCCCCCCTAATGCTGTCACAAGATGCAAGATTTCTTTGGCGAAGAAACACATTTCCAATTATATTTGTTCGTAAAATAGTGGTCCATTATACATTTGCATCTCGACACCGTTTCAAAATAATCTGCAATTATGAAAGTGTCCTGGAGGCAGAGAACACAGGGCCTTCCCTTGTGGGGTTTGTGCAGTACGATGAAGCGGTAATCCTGGCACCGAGTTTATTTTTCATTGCTTATGTCTACCCAGCCTCGTTTTTAGGCACGTTCGAATGTCATTATCCCTAAGCAGGAACGGTCTAATATCATTTGATCCCAACGAGTCTATGGTAGAAATTCCAGATTCCTATGGCACGGACCAATATATCTGTGGGAACAACTGTCGGTGACTTCCACAAAGTGGTGCTTATTTAAATTAACTCACGATTTAAACTTGCAACCTTCAAATTGTGGGGTTTCCTCTGTGGTCAGTTGGTTTTGAAACATGTGAACTCTTTGGAAAGTATGTGGCTGATGCTGCCCAACAGCAGGGAAAATACAGAGGAGAGGGGGCTTGTGGTAGCAGATCTTGATTTCGATCCAACACAGCATTTTCCCACATTCCCAATTAACACAGTTGGTTCCGTACGGTGCAAAATAAGTTCTACATACATACGTACATTTCCACTCCTCGCTTCACACTATGGACTCGCCAGGCAGCTTGGCGCCTCGTGTGTGTGTGTGTGCGTGCCCCTGTTCTCTGATGGCGGCCGCAAAGAAGCGGCGCTCCAACAGGCAGGTGAAGCGCAAGCGCTACACGGAGGACCTGGAGCTGAAGATCTCGGGCGACGAGGAAGAGGTGGACGTGACGGGAGGAGTTCCCGCAAAAGCTCCCACTCCGGCGCACCTGCCGACTGTGGCCACCTCCTCCTCCACCACCACCACTACCACCACTACCAAGAGCAGCAGCAACAGCAGCAAGAGCACCTCGACCGCCACCCACGGGCAGGCCATTCAGTTCTTTGTGGTAAGTCTTTAGCAGCGGCGGGGGGGGGGGGGGGAGAGTGAGATCCTGCATGAGGTGGCAACAGCTTGCAGCTGCAGCACAGCGAACTGGATGCAGGGTTAGGTGGGTTACATTAGAGATCGAACCACTGTGTGTTTGTGCGAGACTCTTGCCAAAAGGAAAGCGTTGATACCTTTTGGGGGCAATATGTTGGATAGGTTTCTGAATGACTTGTCTGAAGCTCGAGGTAGTTTTTTTTCTTCCAGGGGTTTCAGCTTCATTTTCACGGTGAACACATCATTTTAAAGCATTAACCAGGTCAAAATGGCGAAAGCATGTCCTATTCATACAATGAGTGCTAGTTCTAAAGATAAGCTTTTTGAGTTCTATTTTAGAAGTGATATAAAATACAATCAAGCAGTTGCTTTTTCATTATTTTATAGCACTCTTCATGCAGAGGATCTCAGGACACTTAACGGAATATGACAACAACAAAAATCCCATCAAAAAGCTGTTTTTCAATCACACGAGCACAAGCATACGTGTGTCGCGGTACTATTGCGCCAGCTGTGTGCGCGCACGTGGAGGTGTACGTGTGTACGTATGTTGAACTTCTTTCGCACCGTACGCAGCCATCGTGCTAATCAGAGGTGTGAGCTGCCTGACGTCCCTGATGTGAACAGAACGACAAGTTGAGGAAGTGAGGGGGCGACATCTCTCGCCACGTTGGTTCCCTTTGCACTTCATTCCCACCGGGTGTCGTGCAGCGCGTGTCTGCAAATCAATCACCGTGCAAATACAGTGCATTATTTTACTTGCAACCCTTGGCCCCAGTACAGTCTTTGCACGTGAATTCTAGCTCTGGCAGTTTTTGCTTCAGTGTCTAAGGGACGGACGCAGTAGAAATTTCTAAAAGAGAAAATTCAATTTCTATGGATGCAGAGCAGAGTTTGGAGAAATATGAATAAAACACTGCCCTAAAAAACGGGAACCAAAAGTAAACGCAAGTTTTACAGCCTTCACCATAAACGAGTTACAGTATTCAGGAAGGGACATCTTTCTAATATTCCTTTTGTTTGTTGGTGTGTATCCTGATGTTAGCATTGTGCTCGATGGTTACTGGCTAATTTTGCTTAGATTCTTAGTGCATTAAGAATCATACTCAATAGCTGAAGTATTACAAATAGCTTTGGTGGGGACAGTGTTGCCAAAAAATTTTCGCGTAAAATTTACACACATGGCACGCTTGTGATAACGATAGTAAGAAAACCAGAGTTTTGACTTGAACAATGTTGCCAAATATTTGTCGGCTTCTTGCACACAGCATGCTTATGGTGATGATTATTTAGAGATAAAATCTATTTGCCAAGAATAGACTGCATGATTGTACAGCATGACTACTGAGTGTAACCCTGACCCTAACCCTGAAAGTGAATCTAAAACAAACACTAGCTCTCACAGTGAGTCTAACCTTGACCCTGTCCATTACAGTGAGTCTAATTGGTGCACAAGTAGCGAGTCTAACCCTGGCCCTAAAAGTGAGTCTAACCCTGACCCTAGCCCTAACGGAGTCTAACCGGGGCACAAATATAAATTCTAACTCTGCCCCTAACAGTGAGTCTAAGGCTAATCTTAGCATTAACAGGGAGCCTAACCCTGACCCTGAGGGTTAGACCCAGTTGCATGATGTGTTGAAACCAGCCAATTGTAATCACATTTTAGGACCTGTCGGGACCACTGTGTGTAGAACATGACTTTCCTAAGCGTTTTTATTCCACATACATTGCCACGCAGTTAGCCCACGTGCATGTTTGTAATTTGTGCGCTCTCGGTCTCGCCTTTGTTCAGGAAAACCCAAGCGAAGAGGATGCTGCCATTGTGGACAAGATTCTGGCAGTGAAAATGGTGAAGAAAGAAGTAAGATTTGATGCAGGCCACAATGCTTGTCGCTCTCTCCCTTCCTCTTCCTGTTCATCCATTGCACATTTTGAGTATGGTTTTGCCGCCGATTGTGATCACTGTTGCATATTGTTATTGGAAAAAATCTATATTTTTCAACGCAGTACTAACGGATAGGTTGATTCATTATTGTAGCAATTAATAAATACGTATCCGTACTGTATAGTAAATTACATGCAACTTTCCTTATTTTACTATAATGCATGAACGTTGATATGGTGACTGTCATTGGCAACTAATTTTTAGTCCAAGAACTAATAACATCTCAGTGGCGAGGAGATGTTTTCTCCCTCGCCTGATACGAAGGAGGTTGTAGGTTCGAACTATACCCTGACGCCTGTATATTTGGAGGTCACGTGTCCTCTCTCCCCATGGTTGCGTGGATTTTTCTCCATGTCCTCCGTTTTTGCCCTCTTCCACATTTAGAAACATGCGTTTAGACAATTTAGCTGCTATTATAAAATCCCACATGAAGATGATGATATATGCTACTTTGATAATCTATCATGTGTGACCAGGTTGCCTTTGAAAAACAGGTAATAGCTTTGTGGGCTTTAGCTGGTGAAGTAAAATAATTTTATACCAAACTGACGGTCATTGAATGCCCGTTAGGTACTCGCAATAAAAGGTTTAAATGAGTAAGGATTAATAAGAACAATGGTACGGTCAACACGGATGCAATTGGCAAAATTATTTAGCACTTCCTGATGTGTCATGGAGTGCCACGGGTATCTTTATTTGTACCACCTCCCGACGATTCCTGACAGCATGATTCAATCCGAGCGTGTATTATTTTATTTGTGGTAAACGTAGCAGCCTCTTGTGGCTGGGGGTGCCACGTGAATGTAACACATACAAACTACAGCATTCCCTCGTTACTCACGAACTTGCTATCTGCGATTTTCGCTATCCCTGATTTTGGCTGTCCGCGAATCGCATCTGGAACTCGACACGACTGCATCGGGAGAGAGAGGGAGAGAATAAAGTGATGAGATCAAGTGATGATGTGCATCATAATTTTAGATAAGTTTATTTATAAACTATTATTTAATACATATTATATTCTTGGTTCTTTCGGTAAAGTCACGTAGAAGGGAAACAATAAAAGCAATCATCATCACCTGATGATTGCTTGTGTTGCAGTCGAAACGTCGTGAGAATTGTATTGATTTATTATTTTATTATTTTATTTTTTCCCTTCTACGTGACTTTACCCAAAGAACCAAGAATATGAATCCCTGCAGTCACGAAAGCTTTAAATCAAAATGTATTATTTAATACTTTAATATTTATTTTGTATTTACTTTATGTTTCTAACCATTTTTTTGTGTTATTGTGATGAAATCCATGTATTTAAAATCTTAGTTATCTATTTAAGGTAATTCATTAAAAATATTACACGCGAAATGTGCTATTCAGGAGCATCTCCTGAACGTATCCCTCGCGACTAACGAGGGAATACTGTCGACAATTCACGAACACTGATTAATACACGTGAGAATCAGCGCCAATATATCAGGAGCTTTAGAATCACAATCAATCAATCATGTTATACTGAATAAGCAATGCCCCCGTTGCACATATCTTCAGTGCAAAAGCAAAAAAAGATTTAACTGCACCACTTCAGTCCATTAATGATGTGCAAGTGCCGTGCTTTTAAATGCAACAGTGTGTGAGTAGAACGGGACAATCTGGGGAAGTCTTGTAAATGCAAACCTCCCCTCAGTGTGGTGACTCTCAGCATGTGTTCTTTCAGGTGGTGTCTGGGCAAGGTCTGATTGATGTGGAGGAGTACTACGTCAAGTACAAAAATTAGTGAGTCTTAAATGTTCAGTTCGCACAAATAACTCAGTCGAGATGAAACGATATGTGTATTGGTAGAGCCGTTTTGAGTTAATTTCATAAGAAATAGAGATATAACAGGACTTGACGTCACTTTTAAAAGAGAATAACCGAGTGGCTTGCTCGCATCATAAAACGCACACCCTCACTTTTCTGTCTTCGCATCACACGTGTGGTTATCTGTTGAGGTTATGACAATAGTTGGGGATTCCTTGTAAAAGCATAACGGCTTTCTCCGCTAGTTTTTGGGAATTTGCGTGCGACGTGCCCTTGCTACCTGACGTTTGCAGATAGCATCAATATGACAGTGTAATGCAGTTGGCTCGGAGAAAAACTCTCCTCTGGCGTCTTGGTTGTGGGTGATTGATGTGAGCAAGTGCTGTGAACCTTCCCTTAGCTCCTACCTGCACTGTGAGTGGGCCTCAATGCAGCAGTTGGAGAGGGACAAACGCATTCACCAGAAAATCAAACGCTTCTGGATCAAGCGAGCTCAGATGAACATATTTGCACAGGTATGTTTCATGCAGCACACACCAGTAGTACACATGATGTGTGTACATTCGTGCTAATTAATTTCCTTATTTTTAAGTGCATTACACAACCAACTAGTCACACGAAGCATGGTAGTTTCACAATGATCCTAACGTCGTCTATTTGCATGGCCTAACTAAATAGCTGACAAGTCCACTAGTCTTGTGGGCATTGACCAAGGGAGAAGGCACGGCCCAAGGCCCCGTCCTCTCTGCTGTATATACAGGCAGGTGTTGGCTTCCGCGCAAGATTACGCGACGTTCAAAATGCACCTGCCGTCCTGCCCCTTGAAAGTTCTGATTGACGATCGTAGGGACGCAACTGAAACTCGAGCGCGTGCGGTCCTTTGTGTTGCACGCCGCAGCCAGGATTGCTTCACCCGATGCTATCCTGGAGTTTAAAGGGCTTCCGGTTTCAGCCTATGTTCTGCTTGTCTTTGTTCTCTCCTGCCAAAGGCAAAAGGGGAAGAGTAGCCTGGCTCTCTCTCGTGTTGATCCGTCTGAGGATCTGCATGTCGGTACAGTTGCTTTCCTGCCTTCTGTTGAGTCGACTGTTCCTCTACCGTAGTCCCAGCATCCGGCTGTACAGCGTGCATGAAGGATATTCGTTTTTACTGTTGTTGATGCTGACGTCTTCCTATTCACAGTTGGACGAGGAAGCGTTCAACCCTGACTACGTGGAGGTGGATCGAATACTGGACGTGTCCCACTGCAGTGACCCAGACACGGGCGAGGTGCGATCAGCTCGGCCCCCGCTCACACGTTCACACTTTGTGTATTCTCATCCCCAGTTAAATTATTTCACAATCTGTACGACGTTGGGTTCAAAGCCCAATTGGGAGTCAACTCACGCCATCAGGGACTGAAAAAAGAAATAGCCGCACTTTGTGGAAAATCAACAGTTGTTGTCCTTTGGGGCAGGGGTCCGCAACCCCCAGGCCGCGGACCGGTACCGGTCCGTGGCCTGTTAGGAACCGGGCCACACAGCAGCAGGAAGTGAGCGGTGAGTCCGCGCGTGGCCCGCCCCCATTGTTTTATTATTTAGCACTTCTGGCCGCGCCTCTTTCCCGCACTGCGCACTTGTCTCAGTCACAGTTTTGGTAAACCCACAAGCTGCTAATCCCTAGCCAACATTAGTAAAAAACAAACGTCGCTCGAGAGCTTCTTTGAAAAGGAGGAAAGGACCCAAAAATGTTGGGGACCGCTGCTTTGGGGACACTGGCCACCCCTAAACCGCATCTGCACAAACTATGGCAGATGCGGATACCTGATGCACGAACTGTGGTCATCCAGAACAGACGGTACAACGTATAACGCCACAATGCCCGATCCACAAATACGAAGGAGAAACCACAGCGATACGCTCCGCTACTGACGCGGTTATTTGGCTTGACCACCTGAATGTGAAATTGTAGTTGTTCCTCTGCATCTACATCAGCCATACGAAATAAGAAGAAGGGGACACTTGCTCCCACCATGGGAATGTGGAATTTCCAGCACTCGCTCAGGGCTATAGAAGGAGGTAGACTCCTCCCTTTGGTCGTTTTAGCAAGAAAACACGGTGGTTTGACTTTTTAGTTCGAATTTTACGTTTTAATTTTTTCCCCTTGAATAGTTTTCGATTGCTTTCTGGAGTCCCTGTGTTGGTGCAGGTGTGTCATTGTTTTAGTCGCACGGCTCTGCACCTGTGCTCGTCCTCTTGAAGCTTTGTTTGACAAGTGCTGCTCCGTTTTCCCTCAGAGGCACAGGCGGCAGTGTCATCACTCCCGCATTCACCCGTGCCTCTGTTGTGAGACGAGGCGTCACCCACTGCCAGACCACAAACCATACTAGCGCTTTTTCCCTTGCCTGAAGTATGCGTGAACTGTGATTGTACCCACCTCATGCCTGCGGATTCACCGCTTAGACATGGCCACCCCACACCACGCGACCTTTGTATTGTGTTGTTCTTGGATGGTCATGTGAGCCAATTCTGTGTTGTAAGCGGGCTAGGAGTAATGATGTGTTTTAGCTCACTGTGTTGCCATCCGAGTGACGCAGATTCAATTCTGGGCCACACGCCTAATTGGCAATTGTTTTCTGAACCCTTTTCTCGACCTACCTTTGGTTGACTCAGCCTAAAACGACGACCTGCTATAAAGCGATGAACATCAGCGCACGAAACGCAATAACAAGCCAGGTGTCGTGCTGGCTCATGAACATTGTCTGACCCAGAGATTTTGGCTGTATAAAGTCATGAACAGCATTGGGCAATTGGTATCTGAACTTGGCTTGAGTCTCTCCTGGGCTACTTATCCTAAAATGAATACCTTGCGTGTCAGTATAATCACTGGGGACAAAAATATGGCAGTGATGATGGTGACTGAACCTTTCAATTGCATGCAAATCTTCCCGTTAATTGGTGGTCATTAACAGTGCTTCACCTTAGCTGAACAAGGAGTATTTGTTGTATTTGCATTAAAAAAAAGTCTAAAAGTATCGCCATGCTCAAATGAGTTTTGAGCGGTGCTCATCTCTGTTGGTAGCCGTGAACAATTGGTGGCTCTTCCATGCTCCTATGTTATTAACCACTTTCCCACCGTCGGACCAACCACCACCGATTAGCATGGTTGGCTACGTATGGTGCGAACGAATTTCAAGTTCAACCACTACACACCTCCACGCCAAGTTGTACATAATGCATGAACAGCGATTAGAACCTTGGACCTTATAATAGCTAGGACAACATGACCCGCCCCTACTCGACATCTGATTCTGATATTTATTGTCTCTCAGCAACTACATCTCAAGACACAGTATGGTATACACACAGTCAAGACAAAATCCTATTAAGATCAACAAGAGGTCATCACGGCCATTATTGTTGATGCCACTATACAACATAATTGCTTCTTTTTTATGATTCACAGTTGACACTTGACCTCCATGGCCTGCCCATACAATCAATTCTTCTATCACCATCATCTGGCTTGAGACCTTTCGTCTCCTTGGTGTCCAATTGAAAACTAATTCCTTTAGAACTTATTTTTTGTTTAGTTTGTTGTTGTTCTTCCCCCGCACCCCCAATTAGCACTGGTTGGCCACATACGGTGCGAAAGAAGTTCAACATAAGTACTCCCATGCTTGATTTGGCAACTCATCTTGGGTTTGTTTACAGTGGACGTATAATGATTCATTGATTCATCAATAAAAATGAATTGTTACACTCACGAATAGATTCACCAAAGCAGGTGTTTAAGAATTTACTTATTTACAGTTTATGCCAATACATTCTAAACACAAACTTTAGACCAATGTTGTTGTCCTTCCCCCGCACCCCCGATTAGCACGGTTGGCTACGTACTACGTACGGTGCGCAAGAAGCTCAACATACAATGGAATAAACAAGACACAAATGAGACAAGATGGGCAATACAAACTTGACGACTCAAATGTAACAACAACAAACCCCAGTTGATTATTTATGCAAATCGTGATCTCGAATCACAAGAGAGGATGGTGTGAATTATTAAACGCATTTTGCATCGTGGAGTATCCAGTTGTTTTGTTTGTTTGTGCAGTCTCTTGTAAAGTGTTCGTCTATCCTTGTGTGTGTGTGTGTCCACGCCACAGCCCGTCACGTACTACCTGGTGAAGTGGTGCTCCCTGCCTTACGAGGACAGCACGTGGGAACTCAAGGAGGACATTGACCAGACGCGCATTGACGAGTTCGAGGCCCTCCGAGCGCGCAAGCACGTCTGCAAACGCGCGGTGCGTTTACCCTTCGTACGTAGAAATGCACCGGCGAGATTCACATCTTGAAACACGTGGGCGATTTCATTATCTACGGGACCTTTTTTTGGCAGTATCAAAATAAGAAAATGCTTTAGCCTCTCTGGCAATGACACAGGCGGTGTTAAGATGATCAAACACCAAAGAGACACACCTCTTGTAAGGAATCAAGTCTTCTTTAACCACACATACCTGTGGCAAAGCATACAAACGAACATGCTCTGATGATTTCTGCATTTTCTTTGAAACTGTTTGGCCTGCACCAGAGATAGCTTCTTCATGGCCTCGTTTCACCGGTGTCACACCCGAGTACGCCAAAACGCGATCAGTACAAAGGCAATTTAAAGCTTTCGTGACTGCAGGGATTCATCTTCTTGGTTCTTTCGGTAAAGTCACGTAGAAGGAAAATAATAAAAATAAAACATAATAAAATAATTCTCACGACGTTTCGGCCACAACACAAGCATCCGTCCTCATTCTTCACCTGAGGACGGCTGCTTGCGTTGTGGCCGAAACGTCGTGAGAATTATTTTATATTTTATTTTTATTATTTTCCTTCTACGTGACTTTACCGAAAGAACCAAGAAGTACAAAGGCAATTCAAATATCAAAGCATTCACCCTTCTCCTTTTAAATAGCCCCCGGTTATAACATTAGCTATCCAGCAACAGCTTTTCCTATGCAGTGACCCTACCACGTGCAGTGGTGGTGATAATAATGGTAGTGATGCTCACATAGCAGCACGCGTTGATCTCTCGCGAGAGTGACTGGCACCTTCATTTCCATCTCGGTGCTTTCTCTCACTCACTCCACTTTCCGTCTTTGAGAAGCTGAGCTTGGGGTATTTCTTCTACTGTATTCTAGATTCAATCAATTTTTGTCATTGTATTGTTAGACACGTGGATATTGTGGGGTTTTTTGTGCTATGACAGTATTTTTTGTATCCAATCCAAAGCATTTGAACGAATATGCAATGCTGTCAACGTAACATTTATTCAATCATTTTTCGTGAGGTCCTATTGTGGGTAGGTTTGTTCTTCCATTTCAGTCTCTCAACATTAATTGGCTTGCCTGCTCAAAGCTGCCGTTTCTTTTAAAACTGCTCTGTCAAGTTTTCTAAATTCAAGCGGATGAACATTTGAGATATGATCTCAATTGCTGCAAACCAGAAAGCTCCACATGTCGTACTACATTTGACTTTACTTTTGAAGACATCTTCAATATGGCCACAACCTTATTTATTGCTCTCTTATTCCCAACTTTATTTTGGATTAGTGTTTTCACATGGCTTGGGAATTTGCATTGTATTAACATGTGCTTACAAAAATGGTCCTCTCTGCAGTTTCAAGCATTTGCGGCACAAATAACCTAAAACAAATATCTGCGTTAAATTAATCTTTGCATCAAAAGGTTCGCTTTGTATGTACTCCTTTTTTTTACAAAATCTTGATAATCCTCCAGTGGTATATTCTTTTAGCAGGCACTGAGCCGTGCCATGAGAGTGGCTTTCCAAGCAAACCGATTGAAAGCGGCTATATCGCTTTTTGCCGATTTTTTTTAGGCGCTGGAAAAACGCAGTGTCAGAGCGGGATTGGACAAACCCACACGGTAGCACTCAAGTGTTGAAACTGCTCAGGCAGCCGACAGCTCCTGTCGACGTGCCAGCCAGTAATCTGCTGGAGCATTTTCCAATGCTCCCGAAACTCTTCCCTTGATCCTGTTTGAAACGCCTACCTCCACGTTACACGACGGTGCTTACACGCAGGATGCAGTTGCGATTTGCAAGCGATCAAAGTCTGCAGGATTTCGGTTTTAGCCAGGTTAAAACCATACCATGTGTTTATGACGGTAGGGGGGGGAGGAGGGGTGATGGCAATCTGAAACCCCCTTTCGCACTTTTGGGTTTCTCCTTGACGGGCGGGAGAGGGGTTACTGATCTGTGCGCCACGTGTCTGGGCACGGCAGGAACGGCCGCCGCCAAAAGCTTGGAAGAAACTGGAGGACTCGCGGGAGTACAAGAACGGAAACCAGCTCAGGGAGTACCAGCTGGAGGGAGTGAACTGGCTGCTGTTCAACTGGTACAACAGGTGGGTGTGCTCCCTTTTTTTCCTGCCAGAGAAAATCAGTGTTAAAAAAAAAGAGGGCGCCTACATGAGGAACACATCTATTTGGATTTGAGACAGAATGGATTATAGTTTTCAGATGTATTTCCTCTCCACTCAAGTAATCTGCTTTTCTCATATCGAGAGATGGTGCGTTGTTCGAAAGATGGTGATACAGTAAAACCTTGGATTGCGAGTAACTTGGTCTGTGAGTGTTTTTCAAGACGAGGAAAAATGTAAAATAAATATTAATTTGATAAACGAGCGAGGTCTTGCAACACGAGTAGTACGTGTATACGCTTTGTCTGCCGAGTGTCACGTGATCACAACTGATATACGAGTGCTTTGATATACGAGTGCTTTGGATTACAAACACGTTTCCGGAACGGATTATGCTCACAATCCACGGTTTTACTGTATATGAAAATCATAATGGCCGAAATTATAATGATGGCGGTGGTGAAACCGAGAATTCCTGTTGGGTAACAGTCTGTAGGTGGTGGTCGGTTCTGAAAATAGACTAGAAGTTCAGTTGCTGACAACAGTAACACGGTCAATGGACTCCCAGGTGGGAGTCCACTGATCGTTTCTTTGACAAGGTAGGCCTGGGGTCACGCATTAGGAAAGGAAAGACATCAAAAGTATAACTTTGTTGATTTGTTTGTGGTATACAGTTGACCCTAATTGATAATGTGGAAATTGTTTTAAGACACACTATGGCATGTTGTGCCGTCAGTGTGGATGTGATATCTCCTTATACGGCGGAAAAAGATTTGCGGTTAGTTTACACTTTTCACTACGGTGTCTCCGCTTGACAAATATTGCTCGGAAATTTCATTGCATAAGGGATGGGAAGCGTCATATGAAACAATAAAAGAAAAACGCAATTGAGAAAACAGCGGGCAAAAAAATAATTATCGACTTTGGCAACTTGCACAATTCTCACAGTTTGCAGAAATGCATGAGCTCGTAACAGTCAGGAATACCAAATCAGTATTCCTGTGGCCACTTCGATATTCATGCCCCACTTTGGTGCCGTGCAAAGGTGCGACCAAAAACCGCCAAATCTTTTCAACTTGCTGCTGTGCTCCGATGTGGAGGGGGTTCTTAATTTTTCCTGTCTTGTGAGCGCTGTACATCTCAGTTGATAATAGTGGCCCTTATCTCTTAATACGGGGGGGGGAACAAAACGAAGAAATCACTGAAACCCACTGGCGTGCAGTCACAGCAGGTTTACAATATTCGTTAAGAAATTAAACAACTGTGAAGCTGCATTCGTCGTCAGAGTATCACGTGAAGTGCAGCACGTTCTCTAACGAGACTGGTTGGGGGAGGGGGGGGTGGAGAGAGGGAGGGGTACAGTTTACATCTCACGACAAGCGATTTTCAGGCGTGTGATGTGATGGATGAGAGATGGCCGCGTCTTGAGGGATCTGTCGGCGATTGCTGTGAAGCCCAGGAGGGAGCCAGTTTGTGCCGTGTGATGTGCGATGTGTGTGTGTGTTGCCGTTGGGTTGACCGTGTCCCTTTGAGGCGCTAGACATCGCTATTGTCACGAGCGGAGCCGGCAGCTGTTAACCATTCAGCTAGCAAGAACTCTTCCATTTGCTTGGCCGCTCAAGGCGGTGGCGGCATGTTAAATCGGTGCTCGTTAAAGAATCGATTATTTCGCTTGTACAGGCTGTCCCATCCCCTGAACATTTCACTGGGATGCATTCCCCGAGTCGACGTCAGCTGGGGGAAAGGCTAAGTGACGAGCTGTTTAAAATGTAATTCTGCCTCATTGGGACCTCTGCAGGGTTAAGGCGTTGGAGCTCCACTACCTTATCAAACGCAATGGCTTGAAAACACTTTGAGCCTTAAGATAGCAATTGGAGTCGTGCGGCGAGACCGTTTCATTCTCAGCGGCGTTTTCAGCCCTTGCTCTCACGGAATGTATGGTCAGTAGCGGCGTGGTAATCCTTTCACTTGCCGTAAATTGCCCTAAGCTCGCCGCCTCAACTACCTCTCTGCTTGACGTGTATCAAACAGTCCGTGGCCTTTGCCTACGTTGAGACGTAGTGCCTCAGCTGGTCGACCGTGTGGACAATTACAGCCCCGATACAGCACATTTGCCCATGTACCTTTGTCCCTAAGCACCCACCCGGAGGGAGGTGGGGTGGTTTTGGGCTCATTCCAGTTCATGGCCCAGCTTGACATCTGCGATTTTAAATTTTGCCCACTGCTGGCAGTGTGCCCTGGTCGATCGTGCCTTGGCTGAGTGGTTTCGGTTTCGTACGCGTGAATCTGTAGCAAGAGCATCGTCAGATATCTCTTCTTACCTGCTGTACTCCCCGGTCCCCGCTTGAGATGTGAAATGATAGAATGCACCAACTGACCTTTTTGCTCATGTGTTACACGACTGCTGCATTAAACGAGAGGCTTGGAATTAGAGCACTTTGGTCTGTTGCTGTTGCATTAAAACCTCTCAGTGTTTAACTGGGCAGGCAGATCTGTGTGATGCATGTAATGTGATTGGTGGTGAGACATTTTCCAGTCGAGCTTATTGCATCCAAAGTCAATAATAATAGTAATAGGCAATTTTCATATGTTTCCTCTCATGGGAGGTGTGTCCTTGGCAGATAATAGGAAAACAATTATTTGTTGCAAATAGTTGAGGTGTGATCTGTGATGTTAAGACACATTTGCATTCACAAATGCACGTGAGCAGATTAAGCCTGTGGTAAATAGGAACTCGTCACAACACGTAAAATGTGTGATACATTTTTTAAAACCATTTTTTAAACCTAAATAGCACGTAATCATGAAAGGGAAGTAAACACAAATTCACTGATCATTTTTGTTAGAGAATTAGTTGTTCGTTAATTTCTCGGCGGCGGCAGTCCAGACCTCCCTTTCCCTGGTGACAGACTCTAGCTCTTCCCGGGGGAATGTCCAGGCACTTCCAGGCCAGCAGAGCGACATAGTTCCACCAGCGTGTCCTGGGCCGGCCCCGGGGTCTTTGCCTAGTAGGACGCGCTGCACGGTAGAGTTCCAGGGGGAGTCTATCGGTGGGCATCCTTACCACGTGCCCGAACCTCCTCCTCTCGATCCGGAGGAGCAGCAGCTCGAGTCTGAGGCTCTCCCAGGTTACGGAGCTCCTCACCTGATCACAGAGAGTGAGCCCGGCAACTCTGCGGAGAAACCTAATTTCGGCCCCTTGTACCCGCGATCTCATCCTTTCAGTCTTTACCCAAAGCTCATGACCATAGGTGAGGGTGGGAATGTAGATCGACCAGTAAACCGAGAGCTTTATTCGAGAACTCAGCGGAATGGTACAGTGCCCGCGACACATGTACTGTATGACTAGAATTACATTGAGAGACAGAGAGAGGAGCACCTGTGTATTAGAGAACACTGGCAGGTTAATGACGTCATTTAAATTGTTACGCAATGGGACAGGTTGCTCACAGGGTTTAGCGGTCAAGTCCTTATTATAACTCACTCTGTTGTTGTCGTATCCTCAAATCTTGTAACTCAATTTTAACCCACTTCCCAATGTGGTATCGACTGCAAACTTGGTATACTTATGTCATACTGATAACAATACTATATTCTATCATTAAAAATATATTTTTTTAAACGTTATTTTTTTATATGTTATGTTTCGGCTTGGGTCTAATTGTCCACGCTCAACTGACGTTGGCTGTAAATCACCACGGCCCCTTACGTTATGGCAAGCTTCGGGGCCACTTCCTGGAGTCATGGAGTTCTTCCATTATTAGTACGTTACATTTCATTAAAGCGTGTTTAATTTTTTTTAATATTACTTATTACTTTACCGCTGGCCACATCCAGTTGAACTTACCTTCTGTTCATCTCCGCTTGTGTTCGGAACTCGACAACCGCTTGCGATGCGATCGAAATGCCATGGTTTTTTGTTATTTTTGTTATTTTCTTTGAACCTATCTACGTGACTTTACCGAAAGACCCAAAGAATATCAACAAACGTAGGTTGCGATGTGTGGGGCACGTGTCCAGAATGAAGGAGGAGCGCGATACTGAGACAGTCATCGGAGTGGGCACCTGCAGAGGCAGTTCTTGAGAAGACCTAACGTCAAGTGACGTTAATGATGATGCGACTGTAGCTGGCAGACTTTTGTGGCCAGTCGTCAAGTGTGCATACCGGTGAACCCATATTCTTGCAGGGAAATTGAGTTTTCAGGTCTATATGACGTACAGCTGTTTCAATCTGGGCAAAAATTAAACAAAAATTGTCTTTGTGTTTCTCCCTTGTGATAGGACTTTGTATCATGACCCTTGATATTTATAAGGGTACGGGGTAACCAATGAGGTCTGAATTGGTTTGTAATAAGGGTAGGCACTGATAAGGGGTTGACAGGTTTGAGTGTGCAAAAGCTGTGAACTCTGGCAGATAGACGGAAGCGATGGTGAGGTGGGGGTGGTGCATCAACGCCATTGGCCGGGATGGCATCTTAATCTTGGTGTTGACCAAGATTTCTGCAGCTGATGAATTTCATACAGCGGACGTCAACTCGCTCCTCTTTATATTTCAACTTACAATTTGAAACGACACAAAAATATCCTATTACTGGAGCCCCACAGTAGGTGTCTTGGTGTACGGTATTCCATCGTTATTCACGAGGGATACGTTCCGGAGATGCTCAGGAATACCAAATTTTGCATGTAATACTCTTTGGTTCTTTCGGTAAAGTCACGTAGGTGAAAATTGAATAAAAATAACTAAATCACGACGTTTCGGAGGCAACACAAGCTTCCGTCATCAGGTGGGACAACCACAGCAAAAAATGTTTTTACTGTAGTGGGCAGAGAGAGCTGTATGTGACAAGCGATTATGTCGGGTAAGAGCCAGGGAGGAGGGATGCAGGGGGGGAGGGCATGTGGAGTCGGGGGCGGGAGTTTAAGCTGTTGTCGTTATTTACTTAATTTTTTTTTTGCTGGTGTTGTTCCACCTGATGACGGAAGCTTGTGTTGCCTCCGAAACGTCATGATTTAGTTATTTTTATTTTATTTGCATCTACGTGACTTTACCGAAAGAACCAAAGAGTTTGGATCCTTGCAGTCACGAAAACTTCAAATCTAGAATTTGCGTGTAATGATATTGGCCGAGGAAACCCATTTTTTAGAATAATTACCTTAAATAAATACATAAATTAGCTATTAAATACAAGAACATTTTCATGATAACACATCACTTTATCTAATCGCTTGATCTCATCACTTTATCTCATCACTCTCTCGCATCACATTCTCATCACTTTTTCTCATCTCTTTTTCTCGATGCAGTCATGTACAGTTCTAGATGCAATTCGCAGATAGCCAAAATTACGAATAGCAAGTCCGTGAATACTGTAGTTGCATAAATCTAGAGGAGCATTTTCGACGGCTGCCCAAGAAAAGTGGGTTGAGCGAAATAACTAACGGCCATTGTCCTCTTTGCTTCGTTTCATTGCTCATTCTGCTTTGCCACCCACAGACAAAACTGCATCCTGGCGGACGAGATGGGACTGGGCAAGACAATCCAGTCGATCGCGTTCCTGCAGGACGTGGCGCTGGCGGGCGTGCACGGCCCCTTCCTCGTCATCGCGCCACTGTCCACCATCGCCAACTGGGAGCGCGAGTTCCGCACGTGGACCGACATGAACGCCGTGGTGTTCCACGGCAGCGTGGCGAGCCGCCAGATGATCCAGCAGTACGAGATGTACACCCGCGACGCCCAGGTCAGCGCCTTGCGAAAGAACGGCGGTGGCGGAAATTTAAACAATAAACTAAACTATATTTATTTTTATTTGTATAGCTCTTTTTCAGATGCGAGCTGGCCGCAAATGACAGCTCAATGACGTGGCTTATCGTGTGGATATGTATTGCAGCCAAATACTCTAAAACGCATGTTTTTAAATGTGGAGTGAAAAACCGGAGGACCGAGAAAATAATCCGCGTGACCACAGGAAGAGAATACGCAAACTCCAAATATACAGCAGACATCAGGGTTGGGACCTATATACCAGACGAGGTAGTTAACATCTTGCCACCGTGGCACACTTTGGAAAGGCTGGAGTTGATGCATCGCACAGAAATCGTTGCGTGCGTGAGATTTTCCAGCATGCTCGGCTGCGAGGTGGCCTGTCAGTAATAGTGCAGCAAGTAAGATCCGTAATGATTCACATGGACCTTGTAGCGATATCCTCTCCCTCGTGAGTAAATTTTCCAACATCACAAGTCAGCACCCATGCCAATCTTCTCCGTCTGCTCCTGATTCCGCACATGTGCAGGGCCTTGGCAAGGAATTATTCCATTGCAGGGACCCTCCTGTAAAGAAGTCTTAAAATGCAGCAGCGAGGCTTTTGTAGACAAAGAATATCGTGGGTTTTTGTTTTTATTACGAGAAAGTCACCACAGTGCATTCACATTTGAAAGGAGCGCCCTGTTGGAAACCTTCTTGCTGTACTGCCATCTGCTAATTCTACATAGCCCAAAAGGGTTGGGTGTCTCAAGCCCATCAGTGGTCTACAAAATCGCACCAACAACTGGGTTACACACGTGCATCACCTGGTCTTTATAGTTGAAGCACTCCACTTTGGAGTCACAATTGATTATGGTGGAAACTGTATTCAGGCATCTTACACAACTGCCTTATTCCTCTTTAATTTCACTCGGTTTTTTTTGCTTACTGCTCGTAACAATTTCAATCAAAAAACAATTAATATACACCGTCTTGAAATAAGTATATAGAGTCTGATAAGACCAGGACCACCTTGTCGGCAAAGGTTATTCCTATTGCATATATGGCCCCCACCATATGATCGTGGAAGTTCTGCTGGATCAAGCAAGCAGGGACACACTTCCGCTTTTGAGTGCTCACGGGGTCTCTTAGAGCAGCAGACTTGTAGGCGATTACGACATGACATGGCATTTCAGCGGATCGCAAGGGGGGGGCAACTCTGTCCAGCGAGGAAATAATTTGAGCAGCTCCGGTGCCTTATGAATTCCTATGGTTGGGGATTAATGGTTTGTGCAGCCGTGTGGCGCCATCCCACTTGGTTTTAAGCAGCAGTGGAAGTTTTAGAATGATTTCATGTTCAAGATTAATGCCGCTCCTCCAATTCCAGAGGACTTACAAGGATGCAGGGCGATGCATTCGCAGCTCCTCGTTTTCTGTCATTGTCAAGACATTGTTTATCCCTGATAACTTAAAGCAGCCCATTGCAAAAATATGAATTGATAATTTTAAAAATTCCAGTCTTAAAAAAGCACTCCGGCTAATTTACTGCTTGCAGTTAGACCTTTCTGCCAGTGCCTTGTCTCATTAAGTGTGCTCAAATTGTGTGTTGTCACTGTTTCATGTATCGCCTTCTTCTTGTTCCACGTGCTTGTCCCACTCATGTGGAATCCACTGTCCTTGCCACCGTTCTCGACGCTGCCTTGTCCTGCGCCGTCTCTCTGTCCACTCCTCGGGCCACCGTGTCCGATCGCACCACATCGCCCCACCTCCTCTTCTGCCTTCCTCTTGATCTATTTCCTTCCACTTGCATCACGTACACCTTCTGACCCACGTAATTTTTTTTCTCATTTTAAGAAATTATATTTTAGAAATAAGTTCAGAAGGCCTGTGGGTTGAGTTTGGGGATACTACCTCTCAGGAGGCTTGGGGATACTGTAAGGGAGGCTGCTTTCAGGAAGGGGTTTTATACTGGTGCATTAGCAAAAACACTGCTGTGGTGTTTGATAAAAAAATTAATGAAACCATCTTAACCACAGCAATCACCAGAACATGTTTCTGAAGGCCAGCTCCTCGCCTCAACTGTGTGTAAACACAAGCGGCTCTCGGCATGCCAGACCTGCATGTCACCAATGCCAGAGGAGCAAAAATCCCTCCATTAATCTGTTAACATCTGCAATGCGCACATTGCCACTGAGCATGGGCTCACTGCAGTTTTACTTCCCGACTGCGTGGATTAATAATCTGAGGTGGCAGGTGGCCTGTGCCCTTGCTGAAATGTTTATTGTCTTGTTTTTGGCATTGTAATGAGGAGCTCTGCGTAGTGTTCCTTCTTCAAGCATAGCATCCGCACAGCAATACAATAAGAACATTAGCCCTGCATTAAAATGTTGTAAAACATCTGGGAGAAAATAATCAACTTAACTAACTTTTGGCTGCTCTGCTGATGCACTGCACTGTGGTTTTGACTGGCCTGGTTACTAAGTCCCATGGGTTTGCTTGGTTTAAGCCACACGAACTGAGTTCGGACCGTCTCGGGAAGGCTGCATCACTGACCTGACTGGCAGCAGCTGTATGCAGCATAAGGAGAATGCCTAATGGCACCATCGCTGGGGTGAGCATCTGGCTGCTCACTGACACTCCCGAGGCAGGCGATGCTCAGCGGTTAAGCAGCTGCGTAACTCGGCCTCCAGAAGGTGCGGAGCTTGCATAGGCGGGAGGGCGACAGCTACGGGAAGGGGAGAGATTTTACAAGACATGGGGCGCCGCGCTGTGATAGTCATACCAATTTGAGGAATTGCTTTGTGCAGTACACGGCTAAGCAGTCGAGCAGACCACTCATTGGCCTTGCAGAGGAAACACAAAATGTGCATGCAGGGGAGGAGAAGGGAGGATTATCCGCAGTGCCGTTGTTTGGGCCGCTTGCCAGATGGGCTTGGCGTCAGCAAATATGCAGCGGGGACCAACTGGTTTGACTTTTAGTTGACATTTGCAGCCCTACGGGGACTCTGCCTAAAACGTAATGCCCCCATCACGCTCCAATTTTCCAATTTAATACGATGTTTGAAAAGTCTAATAGAATGACTTATCAAGGTATGATATCGGAGCCTGGGAAGAATCTTTTAGATTTGCTCTTTGTCTGCTATAAATTTATGGAGTGACATTTTATATCGCTGGAAACAATAAAATTAATTTGGTGCTATTGGCATTCGTAAGATACTAGTCAAGATAATCTTGGAGGGTGGTGGTCGACTGATTCACAAAATGTTTTCTTTGTCAATTCTTCCTGAATTACACGAAGGTATATATTGAACATGTGACTGAGATACATGTTAGCACTGTGTTGGGCTCTGTAACTTGTGCATTGTTCTAATATTTACAAATGTCTCACTGCATAGCTGCTCGCATTAATATGCCCTTGCAAGCAATGTACATTCACGCTCTTGGTTAAAATTCCATTTAGTAACAGTTTGCTCTCCGGTCATCCATGCTTGCTTGTGTTTAGTTTGTTGTCCTTCCCCGCATCTCCGATTAGCATGGTTGGCAATGTACAGTGCGAAAGAGTGTCAAAAAACATACATACAAATTGCTATTGAAATGTGGAATTTGCACTGCCAAGACGATTTCCATCCTATTGGTCATTTGAGCAGGGAGAACACTGTGACCTGGACTCACGGTCGTCTTTGTCGCTGTCTCTCGCGTGCGTTTGCGTGCTCGCCGCGGCGACACAGGGCTACATCACGCCTGGCGCGTACCGGTTTGACGCCGTCATCACGACCTTCGAGATGATCCTGACCGACTGCCCAGAGCTGCGCAGCATCGAGTGGCGCTGCGTCATCATCGATGAGGCTCACCGGCTCAAGAACCGCAACTGCAAACTGCTGGAGGGACTCAAGCTCATGGCCCTGGTACGCTGGCTCACCCAGTAGCACACAACACAGAGACAGCTCTAGCCGGGAATACGGGGGGGGGGGGGGGGGGGAAACCATGAGACCAGGTTTAATTACATGGCTTGGTCACGTGGGTTTGAGGCTTGTGTTGCAGGAAGGAAGGTTAAGCGTGGTTTCAAGTTTATTTGTTCGATCAGATTATTCGAACTCTGTACGCACAGTTGGCCACCGTGCACACACAGGTTGTCATAGGGCTCATAATAAAACTGGTTTTTTTCTTGTGAGATGGCATCACGAGGCCATGAGGAATGGTGACGATGAGTAGACATGACATGCACATGCACCAGGTTATTTTGTAATGCGATGTCATTAAGAGCAACAGTTAAGGTCCATCGTCAAAGTTTATGTCTGCGTTATCCGTGTGGATTTTTGGACAGATTTTAGCCAGCTGCAGGTGAGTATTAAATCTGTATCTCTCTCTGCTTGTCTGGTCGACGCACGGCTAATCTATCAACAAGCATCGCCACAGTTGCCTTGCCCATTCCTGTTGCTCGTGTAATAGCTCTCGTAAAAGTCCTGGACGTTTTGTCTCTACCCAGCAAATTAGCATCACAACAAGCAAACGTACGCGTACAATTAAAAACAAAATCGACATCTACCAGGAACTAGCTTTGGATGTGTCCTCCTGTGGTGGTGTTGGGCTACTGCTGTGCGAGTGTTACTTTTGAAATAGATTGCTTTCCACTTGAATGGCACATTTGAGAGAAGTGAAGCTTTTTTCAACGGTTTTACTTAACTTGTTTCCTCTGGGGTCCCCAAGGCAACGCACAGCTCGCTCTATGTGCTCTTTCGTGAGTTCTCGCTGCACTTGGAGGATTATTTTCGTGCGTATACTTGTCAGAGGTCTATTGCACATACACTATGCTCTTAGTGAATCAACCAGGTAGTTGAAATCGAGGTAAACACTCATGGATGTGTAATAATTCACTTGCAGCACAGGCCTGTGATATAAGAAGAAACAATCATAAAACAATGTTATTTTTTACCGAAATAATGGAACGTCGTGTGTAAGCTATAACAAATGCTGATCTCCTGTGTTGCAGTTATAAACTATGTTAACTTCACAGTGTTGTTTGTGCATATGCATGCGGTGGCACTGCACTATGTACCCGGCGACCCGAATCCGATTGCTGCTCATGGCCAACAGTGGTAACAATTGATCTGAAATGGTCCTCAAATGAGTACCTGGTGTGATGTGGGAGACATGTGCAAACATCGCCACTGTGGAGACAAAGGTCGCCAGGCATGGTGCTGGCCACCCAGCCAACAGTCTGTTAAGGCTATACGGAGAATCTTTGTCTCTTTTTGTTACTTTATTATCCAGTATAAATTACCCATTCGACTGAGGTCCCAGCAAATCTGTTGCTAATTCACATTGAAAATCTGTTCATGCTCATAGCCCCCCCCCCGCCCCCCCCCCAAATGTGACAGTGCAAGTTTTTGTACAAATATTTAATCCATTGCACTTGCAACATTGGTAGAGAAGTAATAATGCAGAGCTAGCATCTTGATTGTAGCACAGAACGTGTAATAACACGTCGGGTGTTATTAATGCACTTGCTGGAGCTCACTGGGGTGAAGATGAGAAAGCATCCTGGCTTGTCCGCCTTTGCCATTAAATTCCTAAAATTCTCAAGCAGGCTGTGCACTTTGCACACTGAGGGTGACCCGTGTGCACACGCACAAGCGCGTACACACCCACCCACTCGCCCACCCACACACACGCACACAGAAGACAAAGATCCTCCACATCCAGACAGACAAACAGAATTGATGAAGGTGCATTTCAGTGAACAGTTGTTAAAGGCTAAATTGGCAAATTGAGGCAGTGGTGTGGCTGTCACCACAACCAATTAACTTTGTCTGCTCATGTGCACACATCACACAAAGTACTTGTTTAATCAGGACTGGTTTAGATGCCACTGTTTTTAGCCATTGCAAGGAATTCAATCCAGGTCACTGAGTTCATGGTGCGGTCTGATGACTTTTGTGCCAGTGTTCCCCACAAAAATAAAGACAAACATCCCCCATACAGCTTAACAGGCCGTTGGGGCAAGTGCTGTTAACGAGCACCTATGAAGTCCGACACGCCACACGAAGGGGTGGGTGGCCAGCACCACGCCCAGCCCCCTTTATCTCCCCAGTAGCGATGATTGCACATCGCACCAGATACTCATTTGAGGCTGAGGCAGGATCCAGTTCAAATAAATCGTCACCGATGTTGACCGTGAGCATCAATTGAACTCTGGTCACCGGGTTTGTAGCGCAGCGTGCAAACCACTACACGACCACTTGTCACTGTTTCCCACAACACACACTCACATGGGCTCAAAACTACTCACCCACTCATTCATACTTTAACTGCAACTTAGTACACAGTGTGACTATATACAATGTGGGAATTGCTTTCCTTGCACTAGCAGTTTAACATTAATGAATCAAGTCGCCTGTTAGCATGCCAGCCTTAGATGCAGTTGGCATTAAATGTAGGATTGGTGTAAAATATCAAAATTAATCTCTTGCTTAACACAGTGTAATGCAGACACTCATAGGGTAAAATCAAGAACCCAGAAATGCTGAGTGATTTTTGGTGAAGTCGTTAAATGCCTTAGGTGGGTTTCTTTATCCACCATTGTCGCTGCCCACTCATTTAAAATGATAGGTGTCATCTTACAGCCCATATGGCTGGTGTAATAACCAAATCTTCATACATTCCAGGCACAACAAGACTTGCAAATGAGTTGCATTGATTCGTTTGAGCACTTGCTTCTCGTTAGTGGATTGTGAAACAAAAGGGGGCAGAGAATTTACCGGCGTAACACAAGCAGTGTGTGCAGATTCTCAGAGGTCGACGTCACACATCACATGAGTAATATGGGGATCTCACTTTGAACTGGAAAATTTGCTCCGGTCAGTCATGGCCAAGTTTCTCAATGTGATGACTGGCTGAACTCCAGTAGTGGTTAACACGCACACACACACGCATGCGGCAGCGCAAGAGGCACATTTGATGCTCGTTATTAAATGAGACAGAGCAGTTGGGTGACCCAAAGGAATCATGCATTCTGCAGAAATCCAAAGAAGAGTGGAATTCAAAATCAGAGGGTGAAAATCCTTATCAAAGATACTTTCCATATAGTCATATTTGACAAGACATATGTTTTCATACATTTTTTTCACACCATTACAATAGATTAAAGCTGTGTTTAAGAATCAGATCAGATGCTTGTCGAATTTATTGAAATTAGATGTAGTGTTTTATCCATGACCATGTCCAGCGTCAAAGGTCATATGTTGGTGTCTGCACCCACAGAATTATTCTAAGTCATTATATTAACAATTCAATTAACAATTCAATATGGGCATGGGAACCTTCGTGCAGATAGTGCATGAAGTGCTTGCCCTGGCCACATACCTCTCCCATAGGATCCTCTACGCACGATTCACTTCTCTGCACTTGGGTTATTGTGCAGGGAAAAGCTCAACCATCAGAGTAGTTTTGATTCCAAGTGAATTTAAAAAAAAAACACATTCGTCAATAACACTGCCTTAAAAATAAAAAAATATGATTGGCGATGTTGCGAGCAATGCCCTTGTTCATTATATACAAAGACATCTCCAACACAAATTCTACCGATACAACATGCTCATTTCCATTGGTATTTTTGAATCAATTATGGACTCCCAACAATCTTGTGGGATGAGCACAATTGAACCCCCCTGGGGGAATAATGGACTATTTCAGTGCTCGGTCAGGGTTTGAACTCTGAAACTTTTGATTGTGAGTCGGGCAATCGGCCACAATGCTACCTGCCAGATTAAATTGAAAGTATGAATATGTTTAGCAAGACATTTTTTTAAAAGTACAATTCTTGAATTTTTTTTCCAATTTGCAGATAATTTCCGTGAAGTTAAACTGTTTGGCTTCTTCTTGCTAACAAAAGTGAAGTCACCCGATTCCACATCACTACACACTTGGCGTGAAATATTTGGGCATGATGTCAATGAAGTGACATCACTTCCTGTGAAGTAATTTCTTCTATTGATCCAAACTTTTTTAATTGGCTGGATTTTTGTATATTCTGTATGAATCTGAAAATGGGGAATATTGTTCACTGCTAAACTCATTCCTGGAATGGAAGTAAACAGCTCATGGCAGATATGACTGCATTCAGTGCTCACAACTTCAAGTGGCTTCTATATTGTATGTTAACATGTCTATACAGGATCAGACGATCAGGCTCGGCAATATCTGTTCATTTCCTTAAGATGGTTAGCCACCTTGTAAGCGCCCGCAGACAGCTGCGGGGTGATGCCCTTGCGAAATGCCGCAACTCATTACCATGACGCGGCAAGGGGATTTCACCGGCGTCCCCAGATGCTGGTCGCGGCACAAACCGACAACACCAGAAACTTGTTTACTCGAGCGTGGCCGTGACACTTCCTCGTGGTAACAAGAACGCCAGGGCTGCTGGTTAGCACCTTCCGGTGAGCAAGAGGGGCTGAGCCTTTACACGGCATCGTCGCATGGTATAGATGTTATGCACCACGTTTGACTTGGAAATATCAATAGGCTCCATTGGCTGGAACCCAGTGTTTGTGACCTAAACAGGGGCAGCAGCAAATGCCAGGAATGCATGAGAGAGAGACTCAAAAGATGAAGGTTAGCCCAGCACACAGGGCTCAGACCACCACTACGGGTGGGTTGTTTTTGTTAAAATGTATTCTGAAGGATATTTTTTCAGCATATAAAAATGCATCGATTCTTCAATTAAAATTGATACGCTTGCGATACATGCTTGTAATCGCTTGTGGAGAATCTGTTGTAAACATTTTATGCAAATCATGTACAGATTATTATGTGCTTATGTTAGATGTTGCTAAATGGACCAGACAAATCTGTACAAACAAGACAGTCCATTCGATTCTTGAATTAAATCACCACTCTAAATCATGCCAATCATATTTCCGAGGGATGTGAATTGTTACTCAATATTCTTATCAAGCTGGCCAAATGTGATGGGGAATAGTTGAGTGTCTCCACACTTTCATTTTGTGTACCTACACAGCTAATGATCGAAGATTATTCAGTGTTTCCCTGAAAACACTGAAAATAGTAAATGGTGAATTATAGCTGAATATCATATGAGCTGCTTAATGCACTTCTCATGCTGTTGTGTGGTGCTTATTTTATCATTATTTTTATGTATATAGTACTATGATGTTGAACGCAAACGAACATTTTTCAAGTTCACGTTGTTTCCATATGTCGCCGCTGCCCACCTCTGCCGGTATAAACCCCAGCCAGCATATGTACCGGAGATTCACTTAGCTGCACTAAATCCCAGTGTGTATGGTCTCACTGTAATAAGAGTTAATCTGTGATATGGGGCTTCGATGAAAACGGTGCAGTGCTAAAAGCTCCCATTTCTCTAAATCGCTCAACACAGATAAAGGTGCTGGATAGCCTCGTGGTCGGTGCCACTTTTGCCAGCTTACGGTTGAATTCCCACAACCGCCCTGCTGCAATGTCTTCGGAGGATACCCGGCGTGCCGCAGTCTAACTGAAATTAACTTTGAAAAAGACCATTATATCGTGCTTGACTCGTGCACACTGAGCGTTGTGGGTTGTCATCTCGGTAAAATGTGCACGAGCCCAACCGCTCTGCAGTGTTGTAAACGTGAGGAGCAGTTGGCGAGAGGTCCACAGTGGCTGCTGTACGGAGAGACGGTGGAATCCGTGCTGCTGCCTGCACGCCACCAAGGGAGATGAGCGTGCCCGCCCTCCCCCCCCCTCTGCTCAGATGCTTTGACCTTAACATTGTCAAATGCTCTAACACCATAATCATCACCCAGACATTTCAATGGGCTGCCACCCAATCAGAGTAATGTGCGACCAAAACAACAAATAGTTTGAGTCTCGGGCTGGCTGACACAAGACTGGCGCTTCGCTAATGAGGGAAAAACATGACTTAATTTGATTATTTTCATTATTACTTACCACGAAAATCCTTGCTGGGTCTCCTGACTCTTTTTCAGGAGGGTTCTATCATGTATGTTGGCAGCAGTGATTGCTGTGTGTATCCCGATGATTGCTGTGTATATCTCCATTGAGTAATTTGCGGGTCATTGCTTCAAATTTGGTCCATGACGTCGGCACGCAATGGCCCACTCTTGCCGATGACGTCACGTGATGTTTCACGTCCACTGTGAAGCAGATGGTGAGGATTTGCTGCTTTAAATAAACCCACAATATTAATCAGGGCGGCCGCTGAATTCGAGCAGTGAACCTCTGGAAGTGGCAAACGCGCTACTATGTCGGTCTAGCGCGGTCGAGCAGCAGCTTGACCGTGTCACTGTCCCAGTCATAGTCAGGCACTCGGTCATCGCACTGAGGTCACCGCATTGCTATTGTCTTGACGTATGGGAGAGCTGGTGCAGTCACAGGGATGCTGCTATGGCACGCTTCACGGCAACCCTAAAGGCTACTTCGTCATTATCAAAGCTTGAACCTCGCGTGCGACAGCCTGAGACGCACAGCCTCGGTACACATCTCTAAGGCAAGTAAAGGAATGCTGTGGATGGAAGGGCGCTCGTTGAAGTGCGTTGGTGTCTGTGGCCGCGCGTTGTCGCCAGGAGCACAAGGTGCTGCTCACGGGGACGCCGCTGCAGAACACCGTGGAGGAGCTCTTCAGCCTCCTCAACTTCCTGGAGCCGGCGCGCTTCCCCTCCGAGTCCTCCTTCCTGCAGGAGTTTGGGCAGCTCAAGTCGGAGGAGCAGGTAACGCCACTTCAAGACAGGTTGAGGAATTGGCCGAATGTTCCCAAACACACGCTCCTGCACTGAGTCCTTTGAGACTCGGAGAGAGATATTGTCTTGCAGAACTCGGGGGACAGCTGTTAGACAAGGCACATCAATAGGCAGCTGGGAGCACCTGTTTGTGAGTGTTTGCCACGTGATTTGGGGTTTACAAGTTTAAATCCCATCCTGGCTCATAGGTTATGCAGTGTGATACCGAAATACGAAACTAAATGGGCGCGGATCGTTTGGTGATATCAGATTATTTGCTGAAGGTAATTTCTTAATGAGACACCAAATATCTCGCAAAGTTGTTGGTCAAAAGAGTCTTCTTGCTCCCAGGCAACTAAGATTGATCTAAAAGCTTTAGCAGTTGTTGGTGTGTCCTTATATTGCTGCAGCAGAGTTACACACATAGGCATAAGCAGTTCCAGCAACACTAAATGAATAGGTAATTGGACGTTGGACAAAGTGCAAATATTGCTCGTCGCATCGTAACGGTTGAATGCCGTCATTGGGATTCTGCGTATGACTCACTCGCCAGCTCGGACATCCATTTAATGACAGCCGAGCAATACTAATCGGCAACAGGCAACAGCAGAGAGCACAATGCAACCTAAGCATGCTAATGTCATCCGTCTTTACCCCGGGTGAGCGGATGCTGCTGGGCACGGCTGCTGCTGTGCATTCTGTTGACCTATAGCGGCCACCACGGTGTAGCAACGCTTGACTGATGAGTCAACATTGTTATTTGTTGCCCAAACAATATTCCCATGTGAGTGATGTTGGGTTCAGGATGTGCGTGCCTCAGTGGCCATGCTGGGACTTGTAATAATGGTGCTCTGCATGAGAAGTTATCCGAGCTTGGTGCAGGGAATAGATTGTAGTCATTCATTATCTGGTCGAGTTCGGACTCCCGACGCATTATTTTCCGACTTTGTCACTCGGTACCCTGGCAATGAAGCTTCAACTCCATCAGAATCACAACCAGCGTTGTTAATAACATCAATTTGACAGCAATATCATGTGCATTTAGGCAATATCCAAATTGAATAGATATTTTATTTGAAGGTTGGACACGTGAACCTAAAATATATTCATGGAAGTAACATTAAACATGTCACGTCAAGGACGTTCACAGCGAATATATATTTTTCTAAAAAGTATTTTGTAAACGTGAAGGCGTCAATTTGTCCCCACCCTGAACGGTGAATGTGGAGTCTCGCAACTCCCATGTGGTGCCATGTGTTCTCATTGTAATTGCCAACATAAATCTTTTTGTGCTTCTGCATACTTCTCAGCAAGAGTTTCATGTTCCATGTCAGAGTCCATGTATATCATGGCAGGTAATATGCACTGCGGGGAAACGTTGTGGTTTATTTTAGGCATATTCGCATGTCAAATGTAATTTTCCAAAAGCAACACCCTATTCCTCTCTCTTTCACCTCTTTATTTTGTACTCTGTTGGGTTTTATAGTTATGTCCCTTAAGCTTTATTTCCTTTTGTTAAGCAAACTTATGAGATTAATATATTTTTTTGTCATTTTCCTCTTGAGCACAACTTTTCAGCCGTCTTTATTAAGTGATTAAATAATTTCCTTTGATTGTTATAATTAATTTCATTGGTATGTTATTTTGTTTCATGCTTTTATTTACAAAATCAAATGTCCATCTCTGTTGTCTCTTTGTCTGACTTGCCTTCTGAAAAGTATTTAAATTCCTATCTCAGTGTAGCAGTCGCATTTTTTCTCAACGGTTTTGAATAGCCAATACCATTATGGTAAGCCTTTGTAGATGATAAAAAGGGAATTTCACAAAAGAGCTAAATAAAATAAAATATTTTGATAGAGTAACCCATTAATATATATAATTTTTTTTCGTTATTCTGCATTGGCAGTGGTGCATAAGCTCACTTTATTAATCTATATAAAAGGGACATTAGTGGATATGTGTGTCTGTTTGAAATGTTTAGCATACTTCCCGATATGCAACAAACTTTAAATTTGGCATGTGGGTAGCACAATGCAAAAAGTATAACAATAGACTTTTCTATTGGGGGGGGGGGGGGCGCAATAATGGATATAATTCTAGATTTGAATTTTTCGTGATTGCAAGGCTCCATACTCTTTGGTTTTTTCGGTTAAGTCATGTAGGTAAAAAATATAAAATAAATTAAATTCAATTTTATTTGTTAAATACATTTTTATTTGTTTTCATTTCATGTAATTTTTTTTTACCTACGTGACTTAATCGAAAAAACCAAATAGAATGGATATAATATATTTCACGGCAAGTGAGCGGTGACGTCACATCTGTGATGGACTAAACTATGAATTTCCGTGCGAAGAACGGGTACACCTGCTAGTGTACTATAAAGAAGGGCCATTGCCTGACACATGGCTTTGTGATTTATTTTGGAGCAGTGTTATTAAAGATTGTGTTGCAATTTGTATTTGTGTCATCTAAAGCAGTCAATTATAATCATTTCAGTTATGAGTGATGATAGTGAGGTGGTGTACATAAGTGATAGTAAAGATTGTATTAGTGGTGATGACTGGGTTTGTGGGTGTGATAATGTTTGAACAGTGACGGTACTGGTGTTGGAAATGATGATGTTGGTGACAGTTGTGGTTATTGTTAGGATAATGGGAGGGATAGTGGAGCGGTTAGCGCACTGCACTACGAACCCGGCGACCCGAGTCCAATTCCCACTCTCGGATAACACCAGTGACGATTATCTGAACCAGTCCTGGGCCTCCCCTAGGTTTTCTCAGCCTCAAATGAGTACCTGGTGTGCTAACAGCGCTTGCTCCTTCAGTCTGTGAAGCCTATACGGGGATAATTGACTTTGTCTATTGTTAGGATGCATTAATAGTTGTTGGTGCATTCTGCTCAGATTATGTACAATTACCTTGGTTTATGGAAATTAGATGGGTGACCTTTATACTCACATCAGAGCCCATTGAGTCCTGAGTTTTCACTTTAAAGTTACTTAAGTAGGGATAGTAAAATAGTGAATTAAAATGTTTAACAAAACAATGCAAAACAATAAAAAAAAATGCACAAACTATCTGAAACAGTCCCATAGCCAGTCAATGAATTGCTAGAATTTGGCATCATTATTTGATTGACGAATATAATTTTAAATGTAGTGCCTTCCTTGGCTGCAGGGTTAACTTGAAGCGATGACGTACAAAAGATTAAAATCCCAAAAATGTTTTTTTTCTTGCACGCACAATTTTATCCACTTATCTTTTTAACACGTAGACTTTCGCGACCAATATCATCCATAATAGGCTTTTTTGGGGGGTTAGATCGCGTAAATATATAAATGTGTCGTTATCTTTGCACGTAATTTTATCATGTGGCCGGTGGCTAAGAGGTCAGACCAAGTGAATATGGGTTTCGGACTCCCACAATTAATCTGGATTCTCAAGTGAAATCATCTGATTTTCTTAGCCTGGTCACCCCGGAAGAAAAAAAACGCATTACCTTTATATTTGCCTTCAGAAATTCTGCCTAAATTCTGAGACTCTGAGAATTGAAATATTGGTTTTATTCTTATTCCACAAACACGAAACTCACTGCTGCATCTGAGAGAGGAGGGTGTGTCTCCTGTTTTCTCAATAAAGAAGTGCCACTTGAAGGGTTTTCAGAAGAACGTACGCGGACATCTCTATCTCGGCCATCCTTGAACAAACAGGGTCCCACTGCTCTCTGTAATTTCTGAATGACACCTGACTGCTGATTTGACTCAGAGGATCCAAGCCATTCCAGGGATGGTTTGCGTCGCGTTGTTTTGTAATCGTCCGCCATGCCCGACCTGCGCACAGGTCCAGAAGCTCCAGGCCATTTTGAAGCCCATGATGCTCCGGCGGCTCAAGGAGGATGTTGAGAAGAACCTGGCGCCTAAGCAGGAAACCATCATTGAGGTGGAGCTCACCAACATCCAGAAGAAGTACTACCGTGCCATCTTGGAGCGCAACTTCTCTTTCCTGGCCAAGGGAGTGGGCCAGGCCAACCTGCCCAACCTCATGAACACCATGATGGAGCTGCGCAAGTGCTGCAACCACCCCTACCTCATCAACGGTGAGTGGCAAGGCGGCCCTCCCACCGCGTCACCAGCGATCGGCCATCTTGACTCGGAAGCAGTCGTCTGCATTGTATAGGAAAGGGATTGTGCCCTGAAATGATTTATTTTGGAAATGGTAATTTTTTTTTACAGGGTGATATTATGCTCATAGTGCTCGAATTGCAATTAGAAGTGGGTGAGTTTTAAATGGGCAATCAGGCACCGACTCGGCCTGCCCGCTTCATCACACTTGATAAAAATTGGTATCACTGTGGAAAGCCTACAGTTGTCAAGGACATAATACACTGGCGTTCGCTTTGTGAATGTGGGAGTGTTTACCTCTGGGATAAGGCTGCCAACAGGGATTTTTTTCCCCTGGCCAATGCTCATTTAACGAGGCAGACAATTAGACGTCTAAACACCACGCTTGCTTGATTGAGCAGATCAACAAAAATGAGGAGGAACAGAAGGGGGGTGGATGGTGTGGTTTCGGGGTGTTTCCCATTTCTGCACAGCCCAATGGATCTACTCCCATTCAGTGGCCACCACAAGGGTGTCGGCGGTTTCAAGCTGCTTCTGTCTGCCCACTGTCTGCCCCCCCCTCCCCCAAAACAGGCGCGGAGGAGAAGATCCTGTCGGACTTCCGCGAGGCGCACGGGGCCGACGTGCCAGACTTCTACCTGCAGGCCATGGTGCAGGCGGCCGGCAAGCTGGTGCTCATCGACAAGCTCCTGCCCCGGCTGCGCGAGGGTGGCCACAAGGTTCTCATCTTCTCGCAGATGGTGCGCTGCCTCGACATCCTGGAGGACTACCTGGTGCAGAAGAGGTGAGCCGCGACGGCGAGCCTGGGGCCTGCCGAGGGGCTGCCTTCGAACGATCCGCGTCTGTTCACGGCGGGAGAGTCGACTTGGCCTCCGCTCCCCCCCCCTCCCTCCCTCCCTCCGACGTGTTGTCATTGCGTTACCGGCGCATTGTTCGGCGTGATAGTCTCAACGACATCTCTCTCCGCGTTCTGGGTGCTCGTTTCAAGGAGTCTCGTTCCTGAGCTAGTGGGAGCGAAACATTGGACGTCGCAACTTCAGGAAGAACAATAACAAAAACATCGGAGAGCTGTGTACAACACTACTGGGTTGGCTCAATGCTCATATGGGTACAGGGTGGTGTTCACCTCCATGGGTAGCACTGAACACCGCCTGTTGAGATTGCTTACTGTGTTGAGCCCTATTCTGTGTAGACAACAACCACTGTTAACTTAATCCAGAGTGGTACTCAATTTAGTGACAGCATAGGGGTGATGTGCTGAGTCATTCTCTAACTTTACCATTGTAAGTCAAGCATGCTCAGCACAGTGGCCACGTGGTCAGATACACATTGATTATAGTAGTGGTGCCATGGCCAAGAGTATTTGCACAGAACACGGCACCTGAGTTCAATTCCCAGTGACCGTGAATATCGGCAATATATCGTCAAACAAACCCCTATGACTGACATGGTTTGAGGAGGTGTTCATCCAGCAGTGGATTGGCCACAATCTTAAAAAAAAAAAATCCATAGACCGTCAGCCTTGTCCAATTTAGTTTGACTGTGAATACGTCAGGGCGGGTGATTTATCTCTCAAAATATAGCTGATGATCTGGAGACAGGTTGACTCTTGTGAAACAAGTGGACGTTGAGAAAAGAGGTGATGGTGAGGATAGCTGAATTGTACCAAGTCACCCTCGGTTTCGTCCCCCTACTGTTGATCTGGGGCACTGCCCCTACACGTTGTGTGTCGGGTACGAATGTCATGGCTTTGTTTTGTCCTTTACGACATTCATCATAATTGTGGTTGCTTTATCGCTCAGAGTTTTAGTATATTATTTTTTTGCCACGTCCCTACGTACATTGGAAGCTATTTAACTTGATTTGAAGCTTTCGTCACTGCAGAAATCTCCATACTCTTTGGTTCTTTCGGTAAAGTCACCTACATATATCTGCACAGAATGCCATATTTTGTTAATGTTTGAAAGGGGAATGTCGTGCAGAACATAGTGTTCTAATTAAGAGAGCCTGATATTCCTTCGATTAAGCATAAGCCTTCACATTGTTAGTGCACAAAGTTAATTATTTAACTTTTCAAAATAAATAAATCCGCATATGCGGACACAGAAAATTAAAGGACAAACTCGGTAATGCTTTCCTGTCTGTGAAGCAGTAGGAGGCTGACTTATTGGACTGGACTACTCAGCTTGTGTTAATGTCATCATTTTAATTTTTGCACTGGTTTCCAGAACGGCACGGCATCTTGCGTGATACAGGCCGGAATCTTATTTTTATTTTTATTACACTGTAAATTCCAGGCACAGCAGCTTCATTTCCATTTCTGCGAAGCACCACGTGCCGTTCATCCATTCCAAACTCCTGCTTCTTTATTTTAAATCAACCAGTGTCCCAGATACGCGTTTCATTAACAGAAACTTCGATTTTATTAAATTTTACACGCACGCTTTGGGGGGGGTCAGTGTTACGGTCATTTATTTTTTGCGATGGAATGTTTGACGAGATATTAGTATGCCCCGCACGCATCCGGCGTCTTTGGGGCTTGCATAGCTGTGATGCCAAAATCCGTGAATCCAGTGCCACTTCAGATGCCGTCACGTATATACTCGCACTGCGGCAGGAGATTTTGTCACACCGATTTGAAAGTTGCGGTTTCAAATCCCAGTCAGAGATGAACTCGGTTCCCTCTGGGGTCATCAAATCGCCCTGATTGAACCCGATCTCATTCAAGTTTCGAAGCTCAAAATCACAATCTTTATTTAGACTAGAGGAATCCCATGAGCTTATGAAGATTTTTTTCACAAATATTCCAGTATGTGTGGCTCAGCAAGCTCAGCAGCGTTTTGCCTGGTAAGTACTTGGAAATGAGACAAACCTGGTATTCCCTGGCATTCTAGACTGGGCCTATGAAGTGGTCAGGAGATGACAGTACAGCAGAGGTCGCAAACGGGTTTTCATTCCTTACCCGTACCCGGCCTGGTACGGGTAGCCGGGTATTCGGGTAGGGTACGGGTATCGGGTACCCGATTGCGACCTCTGCAGTACAGCAGTGCAGTTAATCTATCTCTGCAGAGCTTTGAGGGTTATCCCCTCGTATGCATACTCTTTTTCTATAGGTGCTGCGGTTTCCTTCCACATATCACTCATTCATGAAATTGGCAAAACATTGTAATGCACGACCTCCTGAATAAGAATTTTGAAACTCTTTGAAGCATTTCTGGTCAAATAAAGTACGTGCATTCCTCAGTACCACTGTGTGAGAAATCAACTGAGTGTTGTGTTGAGGGACTGTCCTTTGCCATCGTAATGTGGACTTTATCACAGTGGCTTTTCAGACAGGGGGACATTAATTTTTGTATTGGTTTGGGTTAAGGCATCAGATGGCAAAGCAAAGATAATCCTCACACTAACACTAACCCGTAACTTAGACCAAGAGAAATATACGCGCAGTATATTTTTTTCGCCAATTCTCAACTGCACCTAAAGCATGCAATTGGTAAAAAAAATTGTCCGACTGTTACTGGATCGCGGGCATGGATGTGCTCATCTCCCTCCCTCGCCGCCGCCAGCGACACCAGCGGGGGGAGTGCGCCCGTCACGAGACGCCTCGCTGAAGGTCGCAGAAGCCCTCTGCCCACCTCCCCCCTGCCACCATGGCTCTGGCTAAATGCCCCCCACATGTGAGAAGGGCCACCCAGATTCCGCCACCGCCACTGCCCCAACGCTCAGCAGGGGTGTTGACGACACGTCAGCGAGGCCTTGCCAGAGCCTGAAAGAGTCGATTAGTTATTGGACATATGTGACAAAGAGCTTTATAGCTCATCAGATTCTTCCAGTATAAATATTCTGATTCAGAATCACACTTATTCTGAGTGGGGGGGGGGGGCATTGCCAATTATAAGAAGAGGCCTTTTTGTGTAATGAGTGTTTCTTTTTTCTCCCCTTATGTAATGTTGCTCAACGTATATTCTCGCAAGCAGGCATGAGGGCACTCCGAGGGTACAACTGGTAAAAGCTTACCCTCTCGCACGCGTGGGTTTTCTCCAGGTGCTCCAATTTCCTCCCACATGTATAACCAATCATTCATTGGCTGAAAACATCTTAAAATAAAAACCTAATGCAAGATCCTCCCTCTGATGACTGGATAGATAGATAGATAAATGAGTACATTATTATGGGTAAGCTTGCAAATTACATTTCTTGTCAGGGATTGATTCATCCCATCATCTTCCTTGAAGTTGGTGAAAACGACTACCACTTTATAGGAAGTCAACATTGGTCACCCCTTGAAATACTGGCCCTTGTTTCTGGTAATTGGGAAGGTGTATTTTCCACCATTTAGTGAGGGTCGTCAACAGAGGTGAGCGATGCCTTGCGCTTGTTTGAACAAGGAGACATTTTGCATTTTCACCTTAATAATGTCCAAAAAAGTCATACGAGATTTTTGCCGCAAATTTGAAAATGGCTGTTGAGCTGAATAGCGCCTGTTCGTCGCTGCGGAAAGAGAAGGGGTTAACCTCCTCATCCTCCCTTGTGGCTTTTGGCAGTAGCATGGCTTTGGCACACACGGCTGGAGGGGGAAAAAACCATGAAGCCGTTTTTTTTTCTTGTGGTTTGGCACTGGGCTTCTCCAGGCTATGTGCGATGCAACTGTACTTACGTGTGCGAGCGAGCGTGCGTGTGTCTCTGCACGTCTGTGTGTATGCATGTGTGTGTGTCTGGTGGGAAGCGGTGGTGTCGCGGCTAGCGCGCTGCACGAAGAACCCTGGCAAACAGAGTTCCATTCCCGCTCACGGCCTACACCAGTGATGATTATCTGAACCAATCCTGGGCATGCCCTACGTCGACTCGGCCTCAAATGAGTACGTGGTGTGATGTGTGAACATCGCCACGAGGAAGACAAAGGTGGCCTGACATGGTGTTGACCATCCACTCCCTCGTGTACCGTGCCGGCCTTCATTGGTGCTCGCTAACAGTACTTGCCCCAACAGTCTGTAAAGGCTATACAGGGGACCTTTGTCTTTGTGCATCTGGGAGGGGAGTGGTAGTGTAGCCGGTAGCACGCTGCGCTACGAACCCGGCAACCCGAATTCGATTCCCGCTCATAGCCAACACCAGTTATGATTATCTGAACCAATCCTGGGCCTCCCCTAGGTCGACTCTGCTTTAAATGAGTACCTAGGGTGATGTGTAAAAAACTTCACTATGAGGGAGACAAAGGTGGCCGGTCATGGTGCTGGCCACCCACCCCCTCGTTTGCCGTGCTGGCCTTCATAGGTGCTCAGGAAGAGCACTTGTCCCAACATTATGTCAAGGCTATAGGGGGGATCTCTGTCTTCGTGCGTCTGGGTGCATGCTTGCGGGTATCTGCATGCATGTGTGCACGTGTCCGTATGTGCGTACGTACGTGCCTGTCTGTGTACCAAAGCACATCTGTCCGCCTGTGTGTTCGCATGCTTGTCTCTGTGTGTAAATGCCTGCCTGTAAACTGCGTGCACGTAGCTGTTGTGTAAATTGACGCGCACACGCATACCTGCATACGACATCGGAGGATGTGTACTCTTTGGAAGGCGTGTCTCGCAAGCAGCCAGAATATTCCCTGCTCTTGGTCACTCTGAACTAGGTGACCATTCCCCACACACTGGAATTGCAGTATTCGTACGCTTTCAGATGTGCTTCTGCGGCTACCTGGAGCGCTCTTCCTTCCGATATTAGGAAGCCACTGGAGCTATGCATATTATTTGGTTCTTTCGGTAAAGTCACGTTGATAGAAAAAGAATAATAAAA